ATAAAATTAAATTCCCCATGGGGTGAAAAAAGTATACTGATAAACTTGATTCCATCTATGCCCACTGAGTCTCCTAGAGAGGTTCCATGGCATCCCCAGGAAGACTGGCTTGGGAGCAACACTGTGCCCTGCAGATCTAACTGTAGAGTGAATGTGGCTGGCCCCTAAGAGCAAGGATTTAAAGCAGTTTAAAAATTAAGGTCTGCCTAACTCAAGACATGGTATTTTCAATTGGTTTGTATGTATGTGAAAAGGTGGACAATGAATAATGGAAGACCAAAAAAGAATCAATGTCTTTGACTTGTGGTACTGGCCAAGAATGATTGCCAAAAGAACAAAGAAGTCTGTCTTAGAGGAAGTGCAACCAAGATGTTCCTTAGAGGCAAAGATGGTGAGACTTCATCTCATGTGCTCTGAGCATGCTGTCAGGAGGCACCAGTCCTTGGAAAGACATCATGGTTGGTTATTATGTTGTTATGTTCCATTGAGTCCCTTGAGACTCACAGAGACCTGAAATCTACTTTTTCCTGTGCCAACTTTACTGACTATGCAAAGATGGAAGCATGCAAGTGAAAACTAGCTGAAACTAATAAGGAGTTCTGATGATGCAGCACGGTAAGAGTTAAGCTATTAATCTATTAAGGTCAGTAGCTCAAAGTTACCAATCAATCCATGAGAGAAACACAAGACAGTTTGCTCCCATAAAGATTTCAGACTGCATCAGAAACCTTAAGGGCATTCCACTCTGTCCTGTAAAGCTGCTATGAGTGGAATCAAAGCAATAACTTTGTTTAAATGTGAGGGAAAAGTCCCAAATGGTGTGCTAACCCAAATGGTTTGATTAACTACTAACCTAGAGGCTGGTAACTTCAAACTCATCCAACAGCAAAGCAGAAGAAAAGGGCTGGTGATCTGCAGTCATTTAGACTGCAGTCAAGAAACTACACAGAGTAGTTTTACACTAAAATAAGATCATAGTTAGTCAACTAAACAGAAAGTAAGAACAACAGTGAGCAAAAACCCTAAAGATGAAAATAGTAAAGCACACAACTCTGTAAAATAATAATTTTAAGCATTAACCAAACTGTAACAACTATAAAAATGCAAGCAGTAGACTGGTAGAAAGAGGTGATCCTTCTTTCCCTCTTTCCTATTTTCCAGAATGTTTGCAAAGATAAGCTATATAGATTTCTTTTTATGAAGTTTCATTATGTTAGGGGGAAAAAACCCAGAGAAACTAAAAAGCATTTCATTATAAGCTTCCACTGTGTCCTAGTCTTTCAACTCAAATTTTCATCAGTGGACAGCAAGTCATTCTTTTTACCAGTTGTAACATGAAATATTTGGTTCAGAATGGCATACATGTGAGTGAAAACTCCTTAACAAATAGACAATTTAAGTAACAAACAAGGAAATACAGGATTACTTCTATTACACCAAAATCTGAGCTCCTGGGGAAAAGACTCCACGAAGGAATATTGACAAATGTATTCAAGAGACTTACCAAAGGGTGAAGGATGGAATCCTGTAGTACAAGACAAGCAAAATGCCAACACTCACTCCATGAGTGGAAGGAGTGTATAACATAATGAGAAAGAGTCAACTTTATTAACAACTCCCACCTTGCTGGGGACTTGGGAAATTTCAGTATTTCCAGTTTTACATATATATTCTAGCCTAACCATAAACATGAGAAGTTAACTAACTATGCTCCAGTTTCCCCTTCAAAAAGTTATTAAACAATTAAAAATGTTTCTACAGTGTGAGAAGTTTGAACTGTTAACGGTGTGTTATTAGACAAAGGCCTTTATATACACTCAGGTCCAAAAAAAATGTCAAGGCAGTAACAATTATATGTGCCATGGAAAATAGTCTCCTCAAGGTCAGGAAGTGCTTAAATAAAAATATTACTCAGTTCTCAGATTTTCCTTAAAGTACTTGTTAGCCTCTCCTATATTTTCATAAGAGACATTATGGTAGGAACATTCCATTACATTCCATCTGTAATCAGCTACAATCCTTGGGAGCAGCAGTCTAGGCCTGCTGCCAGCAACCTTTTAATGCCTTGAACACATATGTCTAGATCAAATTCATTTCATTTTTTGCAATAATTCTAGGTTCAAAATGTGTGCATGTTCCCAATTTTAAACTCAGTGTTTTTTTGAATCAACCTATTATTAATAACATTCTAAACATAGCATCTTTCATACAAATCTCTCCAAGCATTTAAAAATTACTTGCAGTACATATAAGTCAATTACTAAGACAATGTCATGCAAAATCAAAAACAGAAACAGAAAACGGAAGTGAAAAACAGAAAACATTTTTAAAAGGTTCTCATTATGCTTTCCTTGAAAGATAACCTTTGAAAGGTACCAAAATGACCTCGAACTCTACTGAGCCATGACAAAGCAATCATCAACTCTGAATTATTTACCTAATTTACCAAAAACTAATTTTTCCAAGCTGAAACATCTCTTTAGTTCATACTGCTTTTAGATCATTATGTTATTCCCTATACTTTGTTATTACTGGCTGGTGCTATAGAATATATTGGTTGTCACATTGCTGTTGCTGTTAAGTGCTATAAAGTATGACTCACAGTGACCTCATGAACAACAGATTAAAACCTTGCCCTACCCTGAGCCATCAGTATGATCTTTGCCATGTTCTAGTCCACTGTTACAGCCACTATATCAGTCCATTACCTTGAACCCTCTCTTTGGCTGAGTTTCTGGCTGAGTTTCTACCTTTCCCAGCATTATCTTTTCCCAAGGACTGGTCCCTCCTGATAATATGCCTAGAAGATGCTTTCACTATAGAACCAAGTTTTAAATTTAAATGCACTAATTTCTCTTATTTTAATGTGTAGGAAGGTGAAGTGTTCTGGCAGAAAAAGAATTCCAGTTGATGGTTCTGATATTAAGTCCTAAAGTTACTCTTTTTAAAAATTCCAAACTGTAATTAGTATTTTAAAGGTAATGTCTATGAATCCGATAATGGTTACCCAGGGTGGACAGTGTTTGGTGGAGCTCCCCAATTAAGAGAAGCTTGTAAGCAGGAGTGGCGTCCACTTCTGAAATAGCTTGCCTCCAGAAATTCTATGAACTTGGAGAAATGATGAAAGTTACACAAGTGTTCAGGTCTTTCCTTCATAAGATCACTATGAGTCATCTACGACTCAACAGCACTTAACAACAACAAAAATGTCTATGAATGGTTGAATGAAAATGCAGTATGATTTGTAAACTTTCACTCAAAATTTAAAAAGAAATAAAAAGTAAAAGTGGTTATAAACTATTGAGTCAGAACCGACTCATAGCTGAACCTCTATCAGGTTTTCAGAGTTATAAATCACAAGAGAGGAAACTGTCCATCTTTCCCTAGTGGAGCAGTTGGTGGATTCTCCCATGGAGCAGTTCGTGGATTCAAACCACTTGCTTTTGGATTGGTAGCACAAGTCCTTACCTACTAGGCCACCAGAGCTCCAGTAATGGTAGGAATGAGGAGGAAAAAAGGTCCCCAAAAGTCTGGGACTTGATTCTGCTGTATTAGTTAGGTTACTGGATGGTGTCTAATGCTCTGGCACAGCTCGAGTAAGTTTCCTATTACTTTTTACTTTAATTAATCTAACCCTAAACTAATTCTACTTACCCAAGGTCTGTCTGAAATGTCATATTGCCTTTGAAGGCTTATATATGCCCATTGCAAACTCACACTTGTAGTATTTTAAAACCTATTTTTATGGCAATTACGAGTTTGATCATTTACACTTTTATTATTTCAGTATATCTCACTTCTATTACAAACTTTAAATCTCCAGTAGTATTCTGGTAGATACCCTTCTGGTTCCAACAGACTACATTACAGCAGATTCTCAATATGGATAAGGGGGGGGGAAATGCAGAGCCACTAAACTTGTTTTCTAAAAAGGTTTTAGGCAAACATGATAGAAAACCACTGACAGTACAGTAGTCTTTTTAAAGTAGTCCACATTGATTTTTATAGTACTGACAAAATATAATTATGTCTATTCTAACCAAATTACTGATGACTTTTAATAAAAATTGAGTCTTCTTTATTATTTCATCAAAGACTTTTCAAGTGCAACAATGAATGAGTGGAAGCCCAAAATCTCTGTAAATGTTTATGAAAATTAATAAAATATAATTATAGAAAAAAAAAAAACCAACAAAAACAAACCCAAACCCGGAAAAAAAAAAAAAAAGACTTTTCAATATTTTCAGTAACACTAAAGAAACTCTGCAGGAGATATCAAGTATGGGTAAATAGAAACATTAAAGAGATTTGGTAGCACAGTGATTTACTAGTGCTATAATGAAAAGATCAGTGGATGATTCCACTAGCTTCTCTGTTAGAGAAAGATGGGCAGTCTCCTTCCCATTAACTTACATGGACATTCTTTCATGTGACAATCTCAAAGGAACCAACTTTTCCAAGTTAAAAACATGAATTGCGTTATGCAGGTATTTAAAATGTATAACGTATAGTCAAGGTTGGAAAAAACCACCATTAGCCTCTATCACGAATTAAAAAGGAAATCTGTCTTAAAGTGAGATACTACTGCTCAAACTACCTCTGAAAGGAAACCTAAAACAAGCTGTCTCTAGGAAAGGAACTGGTTGACTTTGTAACAAGGTGTGAGGAAGTCTGTACTACATTCTCTTTATATCTCTTAAATTCCAAACCATGTGAGTAAATGTTTTACCTAGTCACAAAAAGAAATCAAAATTGAAGGGGAAAAAATATAAAAGCTAGATTAAATTACTTTAGTCACAAAGGGAATTCTCCTATATAAAAGTATAGAATTCATATTTAAATACACGTAAGCAAATACCACAAGGGGAAAAGCATTCAATGGCTTGTTCTGAATAGGAAAGTTTCCAGTCTTAATATCCAAACACCCATTTATTCTGATAAGAAGGGAAGGTGGGGTAGAGAAGAAGGGGAGGAATAACTGATGGAAAATATGCACTCACTGGTCGAGTTGCCTTGCATCTGGATGATGCACTTGGATTCCTTGCTGGTCTCTCGAGAGTTGAAGGGCCGCACCCGAACAGCCACCTTCACTGAGGCTCCCGACATTCTGATGATGGCGCTGGTTTATGTATGCAGTCCAGAAATAAAGAAGCAAATCCTCTACCAAAGTTATATTGAAGTTTCCTTTAAAAAGAAGGGGGTAAAATCCACAGAAAATAATCAAAATTTTAAATTCTTTATTTCCATTTCAAAATCCTTACCCAAATTATATACTCTCAACAGTAAATTTTCAAATAGAAAATTAAAGACTGAAGTTAGTTTTCTGACTTCATTATCTCTTTTTCCCACAGACTAATAAATTTGTGCCTAAGCATAATAATAGATAATACAACTTCCAAGAAACACCTCTTGCTTTGTGGGTTCCTGATTCCACCTTTAAAAATGTATGAAAAGCACAAAAAGATTATGAGAACAGAGTTCCGTGAACAAGTAACTTTCCCTCTGCAAAGTCACTAACAATGCTTCTTTAAAGAAATGCATGGATCTTTTCCGCTTTTTAATTACATTTTTGAAACATTTAGTGTCTGTGATGTATAATTAAATAACAAAAGACAAAGATAAGTTCTAGGCACATTCTTTAATTTTTAACTATCCACTGATTTTCAACAATCTTTTCCTATCTCTTTAGATTCTATGAACCACCTTCGAACAAGCAGAGAAGATTCTAGAACCCAGGCTAGATCCTTAGATGTGTCACTCACTCATAGTAGTTTCAAATCGCATTTCAATATGGAATGAAGCTACAGGGGGGGAAAAAATACTAATTTTTCCAAAGGAACAGTTTCCCTCCCAACAGAACAAAAGCACTATTATTCGGTGAAAAGAGCTCAAAGAAGTAATTTCTATAAGAAACAACAAATCTATCTAGTCAAGGGAAGAATCTGTTTCCTATCTATGATATAAAGTATCTTTAAGAACTAACCAAAGTACTTAAAGTTTAACTTCTAGGGAATTGCAAAAGAATGTGTTTCCATTGACTTAGGTCAAGATCATGAATGCTAACTTCCAGCTGAACAACTATCAATGCCTTCTTCAGGAAAAGGGGGGGGGGGAAGAAGTAAAAATAGAGCAAAATAAAACCCCAGAAATCCTTTCCTTCATAGAATTATCACGATTCGACATTCATGTTTTTCAGAACATGTGCATTCACCAGTATCAGAATGCTCAAAGATTATTCTCTTGCTTGTTAGCACTGAGAACAGTACGTGACGTAAAAGCTGAGAAAATGTTTGCTAAAAGAAAGAATGACTGAGTTAGAACTCCTGGCTATGAGAAGGAACTTTCCAAATCCACTGCTTAATGGTTAGATGATTTTTCTGTCACAAATTATTTAAGTACTTATCAGGATTTATATTTTTATATTTGATGAAATGTTTTTCCAGTCTGTTTTCCATTTTACTTTACATTGAATAGAAATTCATTTTTAATATAGCAACTATTCTTTTTTTTTACTTAGTGTTATGATTTCAGTCAAAGTTACAAAGCAGACAGGTATTACACTCGACCAGTTTATATATATAGGGTGGTGCTTACAATCCCCACATTATTCCATCACTCTTTCTATTAGTTCTCTGTGGATTTATTTCCATTCATCTTCTTCCTTCCTACCTTCTGAGCTCTGTCCCTGGGGAAAAAATACTGACTGCCCTTGTAATCTTGTGTGCTTGATTGTTTAAAGGACTGAACAGCTCTCTGGTTTAACTGTTCACTTTACAGATTTATCTATTGCTTGGCTACAAGCTGTGCCACAAACGTATGTCCAATTCCAGATTCAAGGGAAGTTAAGGGCCAATGCCTTGGAGGTTCCACCAGTCTCTGTCCAATCAGTAACCATGGGCATTACTGAGATTTTTACTTTTGTTTGGCATTTATCTCCTACTCTAAGTAGTCCTCTGCAGAATGGTTTTAGCAGTGGTAGCTGGGTAGCCCCTAGTTAATATAACCTCTAAGTAGTACTATGGACTAATTGTTTCCATGTGTCTTTTAGTTTCTTTACTCTTACTTGCTTCAGACTGGCAGAGACCAATAGATGCATGTTAGATAGCTGCTCCCAATCTTTTAAGTCTCTAGTCACTACTCACCAATCAATGAAAGGCGCAGAACACTGTGGACTGTGTTATGCCAACTGATCTTCACGTCCCTGATACTATGATCCTGAAGCTCCATGACCAGTTACTCATTCTCCTAGGCTGTTTATTTATGGTGGTTGTTATTGTTAAGCACTGTCAGGTTGGAACAGACCCATACCTGACCCTCCAGTGGGTTTTCATAGGCTATTAATCACATGTAGAGGATTCTATCCTTTGCCCACGGAGCAGCTGGTGGAGTCAAACCACATGCCTCTGGTATTGCAGTGCAGCTTCTTGCCACTGTTGTTGTTGTTGTTGTTAAGTGCCATCAAGTCACAGGCGACTCACAGTGACCCTATGAAGGAGAGTCCTCAACGCTTGGGTGTCTTTCATCCTCTCTCCAGGTTCATAGGGTTCCTGGAGGCAAGCTATTACGGAAGTGGATGCCACTCCTCCTTCCAAGCTTGTTTTAATCGGGGAGCTCCACCCCCACACATAACAACAATAACACCAACATAGAGAAATCAGCTGGCCCAGTGGACAGAAAGCGATGCTACCAAGCCAAAGGGGATGACTTTTAATCCTCGCCCCTCAGGCCTGTCTTTCATTATTTTTGTTCAGACATTCCTCAAGGTCGTATAGCCCTGGTGTACAAGTTGCCGTACAGTGCTAACTTGTGGTTGCTGTGAGGCTGAACACTGTGACACTGATGTGTCAAATACATTAATGGTTGGTTAATTAATGGTCTTGCCACTAGAAGTTTATATAATTTTGCTCCCTGTTGGCTCCACTATATATATTCATGTAAAAATAATAGCTGTCAAGCCTATGAATGATCACAGGCATACAAGACATCTGTCTGTCTTAAAGCAAACATTTCTTGCGATTGTTGTGGTCGAGTATTGTCGAGTCAGAACTGATCCACAACTGATCCTCCGGTGGGTTTTCAGAGGCTGTAAACGGCATGGGAGGAGATTACCCATCTTTTTCCTGCGTAGCTCCTGATGTATTTAAACCCCCTACATTGGGAAACTATGAACTTAAGAGAAAGGACAACAGTTATTGAACAGGGTTTAAGATCTTTCATTTATAGGGTCACTACTAGACAGCACTTAACAACAACAATTGGCTGGGATGGTGCTCTTGTTTTGGTTAAGGATCTGTGTGGAATGTGTGGTTGTTTTTATTTAAGCCTCTTGTTTAAAGTCAATAAGACCTCCTGGAGGGCCCTGATATTTAAATATTAGGCCTGAGGGATTATATTTTAATCCCTTAGTTTGGAGGAACATATTTCTAAATCTTACAGCACTCTTCTGTCAATTTGCTGTGCTGAGGTAATCTGGGTTTGCTGTGATACTGAACCTTGTGCCACTGGGGTCTCAAATGCCATAATGGCTGCCTTTGCTGTACAGTGTTTGGTGGAGCTCCCAGTTGAAGGCAGGTTTGGAAGCAGAAGTGGCATCCACTTCCTAAACCACATGCCTTAGAAACTCTATGAACTTGGAGAAACAACAATAGTTATCAAAAAGCCTCAGGTCTTTTGTTTATGGGGCGACTATGCGTAGTGTGTGACTGGAAGGCAATCAACAACAATCACTTTTGCGTTGGCAGTGTAATTCCTTACTACAAAGACACCAGTTGTTAATTTTTTATCAATGACTTCAGTGAAGCTTGGACTTCCTTCATCATCACCATTGGCTCTTGATCATATGGTACTTCCTGATATATTTCAGTGTTTGCTACAATGACTCTTTTTATTTCTTCCATCTTCTTCTAATGCTTCCAGGATCATTCAAGATTTTGCCCACTAACAACATAGATTCTCTCAGTGTTTGAACTAACAGATGCAGACCTGGACATGCTCATCAATCTGGGCCAGGAAATTTGGAAAGCAGCTACTTGGCCAATTGACTGGAAAAGATTCTTATTTGTTCCCGTTCCCAAGAAATGTGTTTCAACAGAATGTAAAAATTCTTGAACAATATCATTAACTTCACATGCAAGCAAAATCCTGATGAACAGCACATTGACAGAAAATTGTCAGAAGTTCAAGCTGAATTTAGAAGAGGCCATGAAACCAGGGTCAATGCTAATGTCAGATGGATCTTAACTGAAAGCAGAAAATACCAGAAGAATTATCTATTTATGTTTTTATTGAACATGCAAAGGTTTTGGACTGTGTGGATTATAATAAAATATGGCTAACAATGAGGAGAATGGAAATTCCAGAACATTTAATTGTGCTTATACAAAACCTATACTTAAACCAAGAAGCTACTGTTCGAGTAGAACAAGGAAACACTACATAGTTTAAAATTAAGAAAGGTGTGCCAGGGCTGTATCCTTTTTCCATACTTGTTCAGTTTGTATGCAGAACAAATCTTTCAAAAACCTGGACTTTATGAGGAAGAATGTGGTATCAGAAGGAAGACTCATCAACAACCTTGGTTATGCATATGAAACAACCTTGCTTGCTGAAAGTGAAGAGGATCTGAAACACTTGTTGCAAAAAATTAAAGACTACAGCCTGTAATATGGATTACATTTCAACATGAAGAAAACAAAGATTCTCACTCCTGGGCTGATAGGCAACATCATGATACTTGAAGAAAAGAACAAAGTTGCTAATGATTTCCTCTTGCTTGCAAACAACACCATCAGTACTAATAGTTAAGAAATCAAAGCTCTGGTAAAGTCTGCTATCAGGACCTCTCAACAGTACTGACTGATGTCAATTTAAAGACTAAGGAGTGCTTGTTAATCCATCATCATCATCCATTCAGTCTTTCCAATCGCCTGCTATGCATATGGACAATAAATAAGGATTACAGAAGAAATATTGACACTTTAGAATCTTGGTGTTTGAGGAGAGTGTTGAAGTGACTGTCAAAAGAATACAGATAAGCCTTGGAGAACAAAGTGCAGCCAGAGTGTTCCCTAGAGGTAAGGATGGTAAAGCTTCATCTCACACATTCTGGAAAAGGTTGTTAGGAGAGGCCATTTCACGCTTGGAAAAGTGAAGGGTCAGCAAAAGAGAGGGTCCTCAATGAGATG